ACCTTTGTTGAAAATAATTGAGTATAGATGTATGAGTTAATTTCTGAATTCTCAATTCTATTCCAGTTATCTTTGCGTCTGTCTTTATGTCAGTGCCACACTTTTGATCACTGTTATTTTGTAATAAGTCTTGAAATAGGGAAGCAAGAATCCTCCAGGTGGTGTATTACATTGATTAATTGTTGTTTATTGAACCACTCTTACATACCTTGGATAAATTCCACTTGTTCCTGGTGTATAACCCTTTAAAAAATTATTTTTAAAGCATTTAAAAAAGATTTTATTTATTTATTTTTAGACAGTGGAGAAGGGAGGGAGAAAGAGAGGGACAGAAACATCAATGTGTGGTTGCCTCACATGCCCCCTACTGGAGACCTGCTGGCCTGCAACCCAGGCATGTGCCCTGACTGGGAATTGAACCAGCAACCTTTTGGTTCATAGGCTGGTGCTCAATCCACTGAGCCACACCAGTCAGGGCAAAAAATTATTTTTAATTGTGGCAAAATGTACATACTGTATAATATTTACCATCCTAACCATTTTAAGTGTACCGTTTAGTGGCATTAAGTATGTTCACATTGTTGTGCAAGCATCACCACCATCCATCTCCAGAACTCTTATCATCTTATAAAACTAAAACTCTCTACCCATTAAACTCTGGGTTCCCATCTTCCCCTTCCCCAACCCCCTGGCACTCACCTTTCTACTGTTTCTGTGAATTTGCCTCCACCAGGTACTTATATAAGTGGAATCACAAAGTAGTTTGCTTTCTGTCACTGGCTTCCTTTACTTAACATAATGTCCCCAGGAGTCATCCATAGAATTTTCTTCTTTTGTAAGGCTAAAGAATATTCTATTGTATGAATATACCCATTTTATCTATCAATTCCTCTGTTGATGGGCACTTGGGTTGCCTCTAGCCCCTTGACTAGTGTGAATAATGTTGCTATAAACATGTATGAAAAAATATCTCTTGGAATCTTTGCATTGTTCTGGTATAAACCCAGAAGTAGAATTGCTGGACCAAATGTTACATACCTTTTAATATTCTGTTCAATTATCTTTGCTAGTATTTTCTTGAAGATTTTTGCATCTACATTCATAAGAGATATTGGTCTATAATTTTCTTGTAATATTGTCTGGCTTTGGTATTAGGGTAATACTGGTCTCACAGAATGAAATAAAAAGTATTTCTCTTCCATTTTAGGGCAGACTTTGAGAAGGACTGGTGTTACTATTTTTTAAATATGATTGGTAGAAGTCACCAGTCAAATCATATGGGTTCTGGTCTTTTCTCTGCTGGGATTTTTATGATTACAGAGTCAACCTGTTTAACTTGTATTATGACTTTGTTAAATTAACATTTGTTGAGTGAAGCACAGGGCGCCAGATGGTGAGCCATGGTGCAACAACAGGCTACAAGAGAAACTGAAATGGGGAAGTTTATTAAAGCCACAGGTCCTAGAAGAATTACAGGACATGCCTCAAAGAGCCACATGGGGAAGTCGAGGCAGGAGGCAGAGGCAGCCCCTTGTTGCATACCTTTATTAGGGTCTGTGGGTGGAGTGCACTCACTTCATTTGTGATTCTTGGGTTAGGGCCGGGTTGGTCAATTCAAACCAAAAGAGCAGGGTTTTGGATAGTCTCCTTGGGGATTTTTATTTAAGGGGCACATAAGGCGTGCAGGTGCTGGTAGCAGGGGATACTGTTTGGTCACTTACATTTGCTCCTAATTCTGTGGATTTCTATCAATGGATGTCCTTCCCCAAGGGGACTACTGTCAGTTTAAGGTCCTTGCAGGCTGCTGGCCCAAGCCAAATCCACTCTGAGGCAGCAGTACCATGGAGTAGCTTAGCTAAACTCAAAAGATGGTTTGTAGGCCTGCCAAGACTCTGTTTCTTCTTGAGCCATTTTGGTATTCCTAGGAGTTTCCATTTTATTTAGGTTGTCTGATTTGTTAGGCATACAATTGGACATAAGGCTCTTATGTAATACTTTTTATTTCTGTAAGGTTGGTGATAATGTTGCCATTTTCACTCCTGATTTTAGTGATTTGAATCTTCTCTCTTTTTTCCTTGGTCAGACTAGCTTAAAGTTTGTCCATTCTGTTGATCTTTCCAAAGAACTAACTTTTGGTTTTGTTGATTTTCTCTGTTGTTTTTGTATTTTCTATTTCATGGATCTCTGCCCTATATATCCTTCTTTCTTGTTTTAGGTTTAGTTTATTCTTTTTCTAGTTCCTTAAGATAGAAGGTTAGGTTATTGATTTCAGCTCTTTCTTTTTTTTTATGTAGATATTTGCAGCTATAAATTTTACTCAGAACATTTTATACTGCACTCCATATGTTTTGACATACTGTGTTTTCATTCTTATTCATCTCAAAGTATTTAATAGTTTACCCTGTGATTTGTTTTTTGACCCACTGGTTGTTTAATAGTGTGTTGTTTACTTTGCAGTTGGTGGTTTTTTCTAAACTGTTCTGTTACTGATTTCCAGTTTTCATTCCACTGTGGTCAGAGAAGATATGTTGTATGATTTCAATGTTTAAAAATTTATGGAAATGTGTGTTGTGGCTGAACAGATGGTTTATCCTGGAGAATGTTCGATTTGCACTTGAGAAGAATGTGTATATGGCTGTCGTTGGATAGAACGTTTCATGTGTGTCTCTTGGGTCTAGTTGATTTATAGTATTGTTCGTGTCTTCTGTTTCCTTGTGTGTCTCTGTATGGCTGTGCTTCCCACTGTTGAAAGTGGGATTTTGATATCTTCAAGTATTTCCCACTTTAGTTTTGACAGTTTTTGCTTTAAATATATTTTGTTATATTTTAGGTGCATATATATTTATAATCATTTATACCTTCTTGAGGCTTTTAAAAAATTATATAATGTTCTTTTTGTGTCTTATAACATTTTATCTTAAAGTATTTGTTTGATATTAGTATAGCTGCTCTAGCTCTCTTTTGGTTAGTGCTTACACTGAATATTTCTTTATTCTTTAATTTTCAGCCTATTTGTATTTTTGGTTCTACAGTGCATCTCTTGTAGATAGCATATAATGGACCACTTTAAAAAATTCATTCTGCCAACCTCTGCCTTTTAAATGGAGTGTCTAATCCACTTACACTTAATGCAATTGCAGATACGGAAGTTCTGCCACTTTTCTGTTTCTCATTTTCGACATCACTACCCTTTTTTGTGTTACACATTTTCTCATGTAACATTTTGATTCCTTTCTTATTTCCTTTACTGTGCATTTTTTTGTTATTTTCTTAGTGGTTGTCCTAGAGATTACACGAATATCTTATGATATAGCAATCTAGTTCAAATTAATATCAACTTAGTTTTAATATTATATAAAACCTTTTCTTCTATGTAGCTCTGTTCCCCTTTGTGGCACTGTTGTCACAGATTACATCTTCATAATTATGTGGTCATCAAGATAAATTTATAATGATTGTTTCATATGTTTATTGAATTGATTTTTAAATGCTAAACCAACTTTACATTTCTAGAATAAATTCAGTCAATAATGATATGTTACTATTTTATTCTTAGAATATATTGGTGGTTCAATTTGCTAATATTTTGCCAAGGATTTTTGTGTCTCTGTTCATGAGGGATATTGGTCTGTAATTGTGTGTTTGAGAGAGACAGAGAGAGAAATCTTTGGCAAGTTTTAGTATCAATAATGCCAGTCTTATGAGTTGAAAATTGTTCCCTTTCCTCTATTTTATGAACGAGTTTGTATTAAATTGGTATTATTTCTTAATGCTTGGTAGAATTTGTCAGTGAAACCATCTGGACCTAGACTTTTTTGTAGGTAGCTCTTCAAATTATTCACTTAACAATGGATATAGGGTTATTCAGATATTGTTTCATTATCAATTTTGGCATGTTGTATTTTTCTTTTTATTAATTTATATTTTTATTGATTGATTTTAGAGGGAGGGAGGGAGGGGTTTGTTGTTCCATTTATTTGTGCATTCACGGGTTGCTTCTTGCATGTGCCCTGACTAGATATCAAATTTGCAGCCTTGGCGTATTGGGGCGACCCTCTAACCCCTGAGCAATCCTACCAGGGCTGTACTTTTTCTCAAGCAGTTGTCTAATTCACCTCAGTTGTCAAACTTGATAGCATAAGGTTGTTCATCATATTCTCCTAATTATCTTTTTTTGAGGTAATGTGGGTTAATAACATTTTAATGTCAGTAGTAATATAATTTTAAAAAATTCTTATACTAGCATTATAGCCAACATTTACATAATGCTTATTACATATCTTTTACTTTTCAAATGTAAACATTTAGCTTATTAGTCTTTTGATTCCCACACCCATTTGTGAAGTAGATAATATCCTCTCCATAGTACAGATGAGGAGGTCAAGGTTAAACTAAGAATGCCTTGATGCCTTGCTCAAGGCTACAGAGCCTTGAGCTCTGAGTCTTGAGCTTGGTGTATTAAGGGCTTACATTGTAATCAGGTGGTCTACGTCCAGAGTCCTTTTTTTTTAAACTACTATTTACTTTGTCTATGGCAGATACCTGTTCTATTATTCTTATGGATTGTGCCAAGTTCTCTCTAGAAATACCCTTGCTCTCACCATCCTTGTACTACTAAGTGGAAATGTTTGTTTCTGGTGTTCTTAATTGGAACTTGGAATGCCCTGTCCCCACAAAATCATTACATGTGATGGCTGGGCCTACTTGAAATATAATTATTAATACTCTTCTTCAGTCACGTGTTAAGAAGATTTATGGGGCTTCTGTGGGAAGTTCACTACAAAATGTGAAACATTGTTTCTGTGGGAAAATACTAGAGGAAATTTATTTTGAGTTCACTTGACTAAGATGTTAAACTTTAGCTATATGGAAGTTGTATTTTTTAATCTCTTAGCAATTTGAATTTACTGAAGTGTTTTATAAATCATAATTTTAAAAAGACAATTGTGCACCTATTTTATTCTTTTTCAGTTTGATTAATTTGTTAATTAATTTTTTAGGGTTATTCAAGCGCTCAGAAGAATGTGCTTCTTCAGGTGGATCAGAACTGTGTGCGCAATTCTTACGATGTTTTCTCTTTGTTGCGGTAAGAAACTTTTTAGAGTCCTCCTGCATCTTCTAAAGAATCTTCCTCATTTTGAGTTTGTGACATTTCAGTGTGAGGAAATGTATGGGAGCTTTAGACGCTGTTATTCAGGCTTAGCATTTTTTAGTGAGAGCTTCATAAATTTTGTAGCTACAGTGATTTAAGTGTATCTCTTTCACAAAGCCTTTGGAAAGTCATTTCCTTTCTTTGGACAGTGGGAGAGAGTGATCTTAAAACAGGGACACAAGCCGTTTCCGGTGTTCTACACTATAAAGCGCAGCCAGCAGAGGTACAAAACTTAGACTTATCGGAACTTTAACAACTACAGCATTATTAGAAAAGCCCCCCGATACCCCAGACATGGCTTAGAGTTTTGACCTGCTGTTCATCTTTTAAAAGAATCATGTTTGGGAAGGCAAAGGAGCTTTGCACGAATCTCATGCTCAGAGGCTTAACTGCGTCAGCTCTGTATTTTAATAATGTCTGGGCTTAATTTTGAGAGATTTTAAAATTTGGTTTTAATTTTCAGTGTGGTAGATCATCTCAGACATTTTCCCAAGAGGAAGGTTACCAAAATAAATGCAATTCAAAATAAAGTTAACAGTGACACTCAACCTATGTTCACCCTCCTCACACAGATGGTTCATTGAAATTTGATTTTGGCAGTATTTTTCTAATGTTTACATAACACATCATAAATTTCAGACCATTAGACAGCCTTTATGTATCTACTAGAGGAAGAGTCCAGAAGGACGCCTGGCCTCTTCTCCAATTGGATGGTGATTTGTTTTATAAACATTATGAAATGGCCTTTCCTTTGCAAATCTTGAATTTTATTATACATGATGATAGAGAGTTTGGTCACATGGACTGTATAAATTGCTCTTAAGAGACAAGGATTTCAACTAAAATAGCCATACACATTTGATGACTTTTGAGTCTTATCTGAGAGGTATTTTCACTTTGAATTCTTAGGCTATGTAACATAGTGAACAGGATTAGTAATCGATGGTAGAGAAAACAGAATATGTCAAAATATATAACTTATATTTTTGGGACTACATTAAGTTTTAAGTATGGGAAGGAAGAGTGTACAGAAATAGTTTGAAATATGAGTAAGCCACTAATATTCTTGACTTATTTTCATGGTAAAATGAGAGTATAAATACTATTATTTTAAAGATATTTTTCAGGTATGAGATTCTGCAATCTTATTAGAGAAATCATTAGAATTCAAAGAGAAAGGAATCAAGGTCAGTGAGCAGAGGAGTTGGGAAAGGCAGCACCATGAAAAACTAGGGGAAGAGAGATTCAGGGCGTACCGGCAGCTCTGCCGTGACACGGGAGCCTGGGAGCCGAAGAGGAGTGTGGGTATCCGGGCAGCAACAGGGGAGAACAGAGAATGCTTTGATTAACCTGACCCTGCCTTTAGTTATCCCAGATTTATCCAATTCATTTAACCTCTTTGATTCTTCTAAAAGGTGGAAGCAGTGAAGTTAAAAATATATGTAATTTACAAGCATTTTCACATTTATAATCTCATTCTCTTAGAAACTTTTTGTGTTTACACATGAGTGTAGAAGCTGAACAAGAGGTGTTAAGTGATTTATTTATCTGAGGGCACACAGCAAGTAGTAGCCAGGCTGGAGGTTGGTATTAAGACAAGCTTCTTTTGTAGATCCTTTTCACAGAGTAACTTACTTTCCTAGGTTGGTGGTTATGATGCACATAGCATGATGACAGAGAAAATTTTCTGAAAATTGTAAGAGCCCTTCCAAAATGCAAAATCATCAGGTTAATTTGGTGGCTGTTCAGTTATGTACCATTGATCTTGCAATGATATGTCTCTTAGGGGTTTCATTTCTAGGGGGCCTTTTGGTTTCCTCAGACATGCCAACAGTTTGAAGTGCCCTGTTAACAGTGGCCTTCTCTTCACCATTGTGTGAATCATTTATAGCTGCTAACGCAGGTATACTTTTCTGAACCAGATCAAGTTTGTCAACCAAATTACCAGAACCCAGAGAGTTACTCTGAAACTAGAAAGTTCAGATTGTGCTTGTCCAAGTTAATGAGTAAAATGCAACTTTCTCTGAAAATTCTCTCAGGCATTAATAAAGAGTAACCATCATTTTCTGCTCAATCAAAAGCTCTTCTTTTCCCACAGTTCTTGCCGATATATGTAAAGTGCTTTCTGGGAAACAGTTTCATGCCCATCAGATTTGTTCATAGTTTTCCCCTCTTTAAATCAGGCAGCTCTGTTCCTGGATGAGAATAATGTTAAAAACACTTCTTTTCCTGATCCTTTCCTTGGTTTGTGAAATTGTTGTTTCTTGATCTGTAATTTTATGTGAAAACATACAGAGTCAGAGTCAGAATTCTTTAATATTACTTTTAACTCCACAAAATTCTAGGTGCCCTTTGGAGTCAGGATTAGATTCCAGGTTGCTTGATTCTGTTTTTCAAGTGTGTGTTCTAGTTAATAACTTTCACTTAAAACATTTTTAAAACATTTTTATTGATTTTTTTTGAGAGCTAGAGAAAGGAGGGGAGAGACAGAAAAAAATATAAATTTGTTGTTCCACTTATTTATGCATTTATTGGTTGCTTCCTGTATGTGCCCTGACCTGGGATCGAACCTGCAACCTTAGCATATTGGGACAATGCTCTAATCAACTGGACCACCTGGCCATGGTGAAAATAGGGAATCTTGACTAAGGCAAGAGTTTTGGAGCACCTAAGACCAGGGCATTAAAACTCCTTCAGATGGATCTGTTGTACCATTTTCTAGGAAAACAGTGACTTCATGTTTTATTCATGTTTTTCACCAATAGTTAAGAATTTAAGCTAATTTTAGTTGTCAAAGTAATAGCAGCTCTTTCTAAGTTTGCTTTCAGTGTATATGATGATAATTAAAATTTTGCTTCTTTAACCCTTAGAAATTGCTGGATTAAGGGTTAGTTTTCATGTGAGCAGGCATTTAATTAAGAGCCGCTTTATCTTCACCACAAGGTGTCGATGTTGCCCTTTAACTGGCATTTGAAATTTATTTTCATAGTTTTGAGGTGAGAACTTTTTCTATTATTCCTTCTACAATAGGTTAATGAGTTTCTAGGTTTATTAAATAGCTTTTACCTTTTGGTTCTGTTGATTTTTTTTTTATCCTGTCAGTGATAGAGAGTTATTGAAAGATTTAAGGGGGGGCAGGATGACATGGTCAGGTGTGCAGTTTAGAATTCCAACCTCGAAGCAGTGGGGGATAGACCCGGGGGATGGCTGATAGCAGGGAGGTGTCTGTAACCCTGCCTGTTCTCTGAGACTGAAAGAGTAGTTTTGATGTTTAAAAACCCATTTTTTTCCTTTCCTGCTTCCTCAAAAGGTAGCCCTATTGTATGAAATAAGAACAGTTCTGCTTTTCTTCTGGTGTAATTTTTATTATTTCCACCCCCTTTTGACTCATCCTACTTTAGTTAGTTTTAGTAAGTGAAAGTATGGTGGGGAAGTTATGGGCCCTCCGCTGAGGACCCAGCTGTAAAATTGTCATGTGCCCATAACTAGATGCAAGACCTTGGGCAAAGAACTTAACTTTGGTACGCCTCAAACTGCTCTTGTGAAATGAGGATAATGTTTGTCTCAGGGGAACTTTATGACAATTATATGTAGCAAAATACTTGAAAGATCCTACTCCAGTTACTGGCATATAGTTAACATTCAATAAATAATAGTTTTCCCCTTCCCCTTCGCTCCCCCATCTTAGAATGGCCTTTCTCCTTTGTGCCGGTGTTCCTTTTTATGTCACCACCGGCTTTTCCTGCGTTCACGATTTTTCTTTCCTGCCCTTCTAATATCTACTACCTCTGCTTTTAGAGTTGCTTTTATTAATCCTCAACAGTCACGATAAAAGCTGTTTAATGTGTGTGTGTTCTTTCTGCCTAATGACATTGAAAACTTCTTGAAAGAGGGGGTTATTTCATATGGGTATATTCTCCCCCTTCTTTCTATCTTACCAACAGCCCTCAGTTTTGTCGGAGTTCCTGTGGAGCCTACTGTGGTCCCAGAGCCCTCGTCTGTGGGTCCGAGGACTCTTCTGTGTCCCTTTCCCCGAGTGCTTGCTTCCATGGCCACAGCTTCAACTAGCGCATCCCATGTTAATGACCCTCAGATCCGTGTCTCTGGTTCCTATCTCTTTTTTGGATTTTTGATGTCCCCCCCACCCAATGACCATTAGACATTTATATTGGTGCTTTCATGCTCTGTGGGATCCTCAGCCTTAACAGGCTGAGAGCTATGCTTATTTGCTTAATTTTCCTCTTCCTTGCCCCCACCCCCGCTCCGCTGTTGTATTGTATTTGTCTAGTGGTATTATCAGCATTTCAGGCACCCCAAGTGAGCGCACTTGTATTTGTTCTCATCTCTATTTTCCTGGGCTATTTCCTGACCTCCTAACTAATCTCCCTACTACCAGTTTTTCTTCCATGCAATTAATGGCTATTTTTTATTGAGTATTTACTTTGTGCCAGGAATTATTCTAAGTGCTTTACATTAATTAAGCCTCTTAATTCTCACTACAACCCTGTGTGGTAAAAACTATCCCTGTTCCTATTTACAGATGAAGAAATTGAGGCAGAAAGCAATTCAGTTGCTTATTCAAGGTCACACAACTAGTATTAGCCTGTATTCAAACCCAGACAGTCTAGCTCTGGAGCCCATGTTCTCAACCAGTACCTCTTACTGCTTTATAATTTTTTACACTGTGTGTCCTTACATCAAGTCCTCCTACACCACCTGTGCAATTAATAACGAGTATGTATTGAGCTCTTCCACTGTTATGATTAGTTCTTCATTGTCCAATTCTCTTTTCTCCTTTAGGCTAGAATTCTTATGTTATCAGTCATCATATTCACCCATCACAATGTATATCATATGTATTAAGTATTTATTATCTGCAAATTGAACTGTTTTTCAGGTTACAGAGAACCATCCAGGGTTTTGATGCTCTGACT